AGGAAGAAGAAGAAATGGGGGAAAGAAGGGGGGACGGGGGGTTAATGTCGAGTATATTCGACAGCAATGCTGTCGAGTATATTCGACAGCAATGCTGTCGAATATACAGGGGAAACGACGACATTTCCCATATATTCGACAGCAATGCTGTCGAATATATAAGAAACATAATCGACAGCCTGTTGGCTGTCAATTATATATATTCGACAGCCAATTGGCTGTCGAATAAAACCATATATTCGATAGAATACTTGTCGAATAACTTTTCTGTCGATTATGCGTCAAAAAATCGATTATCATCGACAATCAACCTTATTCGACAGTAATGGTGTCGAATATGGCCTTTTATTCGAGAGCTACTTGGCTGTCGAATATGTTTTTGTCGATTTTGCCCAATTTTCCAATAATGAGTAATGAAGAGGAGTAGCTATTTTCTAATAATAATTTATGCTATTTTCTAATAATAAACCATACAAACAGCCGCCATTAGTCTCTTGTTACAAACCTGACTGGTACGGGGGTCTGGAGGTTGACCCAATTGTCAGCATTGGATGCATAAAGCCAGAGATCCGTGAGTGCAGGAGTACCTTTCCCAAGGATGAGTATGATTAAATCCCCCCAGTATATGGTTCAATGTCCAGTGCTGGTTTCAGATTCGACCCGAACGGACCTTACTGTTGAGGACTGTAAGGCCAAATGCTTGTTAAATTGCTCTTGTTTTGCTTATGCTGCCATAAGTTATGCCAATCACACTGGTTTTGAAATTTGGATATCGAGAGCAATTTTCAAAAGAACACTTAATCGGCTCGAAATATACATCCTCCCTTCCAAAGGTATTTACTTCATTTTCAGAGGTTAATTGAAGTTTATACCCTGCTGAAAAAATTTCTACCTGATCCTTAATTTGCATAAAGATTTAAGATGTTTATTGTAGTATTTGTTACTAAATTGCAGGGAACAAATGGTGGTTATGGCTAACCATAATTGTTAGGGGAATCATGGTCATACCAACTCTCTGCTCGGTCTTATGTATCATCTGGGCAAACTTCAAACCAAATGGTCAGTTTCTCACTCTGCAACAAGGGCATTTATTATGTCTATCGTCAATTAACTTATTTTTATACCTAAATATCCTTTTAATTCAATTAGGGGATGACAAAATTAACCCGAGAATGCTAATCAAAGAACTGGAAGGCAATGACGTGTCATCCATCTCGTTTGGAAAATCAAAAGGTTGTAAGAAGGATAGACATCATGAGCTGCATGTCTTCAGCTTTGAAAGTATTGCATCTGCTACAAACTATTTTTAAAATGCAAATAAGCTCAGAGAGGGTGGCTTTGGAGGAGTTTAAAGGTAATATATGTTTATGAATTAGAACTATGAACTTCCACAAGGAATTACTAAAGTAAGATTTTTTCAGGGAATATTACGTGATGGGCGAGAAATAGCAATAAAAAGACTCTCCTCCAGTTCAGGCCAAGGAGTGACCGAGTTGAAGAATGAAGCAGTATTAATTGCAAAGCTCCAGCATCCTAATCTTGTGAGGCTTCTAGGCTTTTGCATTGAAGGAGAAGAAAAGATATTAATATATGAGTACATGCCAAACAAAAGCTTGGACTACTTTCTGTTTGGTAAGTTTTCTTGTACTTAATCACTACGTTGCCTTTTACTGCTCGCTCTTACTAGCCCACTGAAATTGATGCTAAGCTAAATTTTTACAATCAGACCCTACAAAAAAAGAAGCTGTTGAATTGGAATAGATGCTTCATATTGCTCAAGGGCTGCTATATCTTCACAAGTATTCTAGAATGAGAGTGATACATAGAGATTTAAAGGACAGCAACATTTTACTTGATAATGAGATGAATCCTAAAATATCTGATTTTGGGATTGCTAGCATATTTGGGCTGGATGAATCTGAAGAAAATACAAATAGAGTTGTTGGAACATATTAAGTGCTTATGCTGGTCTTACAACCAAGACATAATACTTCTGTTTTTTGTTAATTGTATGTTTTTCCTTTCAAATGTTGAAAAACAGTGTTCTGATAATGTTTGCAGTGGTTATATGTCTCCAGAATATGCCTTCCATGGCCTTGTTTCAGTCAAAACTGATATTTTTAGCTTTGGAGTTTTGTTGCTAGAACTTGTTAGTGGCAGGAGAAATTCTAGCTGTTATCACACTGACCATCATCTCAGCCTTACAGGATATGTGAGT